TCGAAAGTTTGAGGGGTGGGGGGGTGCAAATTCGAAAGTTTTTGGGGTGGGGTGACACCATTAAGTGCCGCACCGGGTGACACCCGACCTCACTACGCCACTGGTCATGGGTAAACTTGACAGTGTCCTCGCTAGAAACAATCAGCGTTAGAAACCATGCACATTTTAGCTTAGATTGTCAATCTCTTGTGTAACAAGATTTAACCAATACATGGTCAACCAGGTCACTAGAGCAATGAAAAAGGTAAATGTTTAAACAAGAAGGAAAAAGCCAGGCGGAAACAAACGGGTAACATGGGTGAGAGAAATGCTCTATGAGGGGTGAGAGAGATAAAGAGAGAGAGAGAGAGGGAGAGAATCGTTGTGCCTACCTGTCTAACTGCCAACTCTTACACGCGTCTAAATGGCCTTACGCCTTTTACAGTTTCATAGACTGCTGAAGCAGTCTTCAACGAAAGTGATGGGATATTATTCAGGAAACTGAATACCTTTTCGCTCCAGGTCGTTTTGTTTTTGCGGGGATTAGCTGGGACGTATGTGTAAGTCAGGTTAAGTCCAACAGAAAAGTGGTGGCCTGGAGCGGCGTTAATCGAACGCCTAACTCTTTTTCTGTGCATAGTCTTTGAGCAATTTTTTAGATGCGTAGTTTATTTTGTTTACAACACCTCGATGGTATGGAGCATTGATGCACCTGCATTTTAGTGCTGGGGCAGTGCCGTGCCTCTTGTTTGCCACCGTCCGGCACAGAGCGGCTCTGTTTTTCTGTTTAAGTTTTGTAACTTTGCCGGTTCTTTTATTGCGTGCCACCGTCCGGCACAGAGCGGCTCTGTTTTTCTGTTTAAGTTTTGTAACTTTGCCGGTTCTTTTATTGCGTGCCACCGTCCGGCACAGAGCGGCTCTGTTTTTCTGTTTAAGTTTTGTGCCATTGCCGGTTCTTTTATTTACCGTTCTAGCGGCACTGCCTCTGCATTTTCTTACCGGTGCAGCGCTGCCCCTAGTGTATGTTTTTCTTGTCATTTGTAAGTTTTATCCTTTCTTGATGGTACTAACGCTCTTGATGTTATTGAATGCGCTGATGGCGTGACTTCCGTTGTTAAAAGAGTTGTGTTTCCACAAAAATTGATTACGTAAAATGCACTTTTGTTTTAAACATGTTTTTTAGATAATATAAAAACAGAAGTTTGGGGAATGTAATACAAAGCTTTTGTCAGATGTAAATTCTAATAATGCACTAAAATGAAAAAAAAAATTCTTTAATTAGATTTTATTTCTTTAAATAGTATCTAGTACTTCATTATTAATAATAGCTTTAATAAATGGCGTCGGTTTGTTTACTTCCGGAATGGAAAGCAAGGTGATGAGAATACTTTCATCATATTGTTGACATGGATAAGATTTTTAAAATATTTTGACTTTATAGCAGTAGCGTAGCGATGGGGGGGGGGGGGGGACATATGTCCCCGGGCGCCGACCTTAGGGGGCGCCAAAATGGGTTGAAAAAATAAATTGAAAGGTTGAGGTGGGTGCAAATCGAAAGTTTGAGGGGGGGGGGTAAAAATCGAAATGTTTGTCCCCGGGCGCCAGGAAGGGTCGCTACGCCTCTGCTTTATAGCGGCAGTAAAAATAATAAAAAATAAAAACTTGAGCCTAAAAGTAATTCAGAAATATAATATTTTTAGAATTAATGTTATAAAATTATCGAATCCAGAGAACTTGAAAATAATTAATTTTTTTTTTAGTTCCAGGCTATATTTCTATTTATTTTCATCAAGCCAAAGTTATAACCCGATGTTTCACTTTCGTGAGACAAATATTGATTGGCTGTACAGGAACTCCGTGATCGATATTTATTTGTTTAAAAACTTTTTAAATAACACGAGCCGACCCGCGGCGTATCATACGCCGCTATTTAGTTGTTTTATTTTCTACTTTTCAGTAATTCATAATTTGTGAATTCTACAGTATTAATGCTGCCACTGAAAATATTTGCTTTAAAATACTACCCCCCCCCTTTCCCCTAACCCCGACCCTACACCCCCCCCCCCCCACCCCCGTGAAAGCAGCCTCCTCTTAGTTTCCTCCTGTAAGTTTAAAATCGTTTCAAACTAAATTATCTGCCCCTAATAGCCGTCACTAAACCCGGCTCTGTTTGTAAACATTTAAGCGTGACCACAACTCACCAGACAATGTGGGAGTGGGGTGGGGGTGGTAGTGATAGTGATAGAGAGAAAGAGAGGGGACTGCAAGGAGGCGCTTGCAGCTTGTTTTCTAACGTCTCACGGAAGAGAATTATATATATATAGATAATACTATTTTAAACCATATGACATAATTCTGCCATTTTTGTTTATATTTTGTATAACAAAATTTATGCTAGCCTATCGAATAGTAGGATGCTATCGTTTATGTCGACATTAGCACATGAAAACCAACTTTGCTCTAGCCGGTTTTTAAAAATTGTGTTTAATCACCAAAAAATACTAAAAACGTCAAATACTCT